GTCTCCTCTAATGGAAGGACCATCGGGCATGATGGGGGACCGTAGAAACCGTGTCCGACACGTGGAGGTTGACTGTGTCAGAGTGTCTACAGAGTGTGCAAGGACTCAGAGGAAGAGGAGGAAGAGGAAGGGCAGAGAGGAGGAGAAGCACAGCAGCAGTCTGTCTCCAGCAAACAAACGCCTGAGAGTGTGATGGTCTTTTTATCCTCATGCTGGCAGGGTGGCATGATGAACCTTTAGTCTACTCCTCAGGGCCGCTGAGGCCCCTGGTAGCGTCTTGCATCGGGGCCCACATGCTGCACCATATGAAAGATATGGTTGTCTGAGGGGTAGATATTGTACATTGTATATAGTTTGTTCACCATGGATGCAGCACACAGCGCAGTGCTTTGGGTGCATCTTGCACTTTTCTTTACTTCTACTACAGAAGATTAAAGGAAGTCAGATGTCACTACGCTGTTTCTACGCAGGATGATTGGGAACATCTAAATATCAGCATGAGCGAGGATAGAGGATCACAGAGAACATGACAGCTGCAGGGACAGAGTCTGAGCTGCAACACTACTGATCCACAGGCAGGACGAGCAGGAAGAACAGACTGACAGAAGGAGAGGGAGAGGACAGAAACAGACTGATGAGTTAAACTCCACCTGCACCTGCCAGCTAACTGGAGCAGCCAGCTGTGAACAGAGTGAAAAACACTGAGCTGTTGTGAAGGACTGTGAAATAAAGAGAGAACAGGAGCCGAGACGAGATGACAACATGCACCGTCTTCTATGAACAGAGAAATATTCATTTATTATATTAATCTACATTTATTTACATATAAGTTATTATCAGTATTCATATACAGTGAAATGCTTCTTGTGTTGTTTATTAATTGTCTTTGTGTTTTAGAGAAAGGAGAGGACGCGAGGAAGACAAAAGTTAAGACCAGACCAGGGACCAGCAAAGGAGACGGCATGCACTGTGAACCGTCCCCTTTCCAAAGGTAAATATAAATTTTTTATTATTATTTTTATTATTATTATTATTAAGTTATCACAGTTGTTATATTGATCAGTAGTTCTTTTTGATAAGATTTTGTCTTCCATTTGTCTTTTACAGGGAGGAGACGAAACAGGATGCACTGTCAGCCCTCTCCTAAAAAAGACAAAGGTGTACATTTATTCTATGTTATTATAGTTCTTACAGTGAAATCATTCTTGTGTTGTTGCTGAAGTTGGTTATTAACTATTGTCTCCCACTGTCTGTCATTTGTCTTTTAGAGAGAGGAGAACAACAGAGACACAGTGGACTGTCGTCTTCTGTCATCCTTAAAGAGTTCTTTAAATCAGCAATGAACATGTCCTTCTAATAAGTTTTGTCTTTGTCTTTATATGTGTACCCAACCTGCTGTCTTTAATAAACTGGTATTCACATGAAGTTACAGTGTTTATATTGATACTTATCTGTTCTGTCAAACCAATAATAATCAGGATCTGACTTGGGGGTAACAGATTACATGTAGTTATGTATTTAGGATATAAAAAAGTAACTGTAATCAATTACTGGTAAAATAGAAGGGTGTAAAAAGATTACAGTTACATTTAATAAAAATGGGGAATATTAGCAGGATTACAAATTTAAAACAAAAACATACGTACTACTTATGTACATATTCTTCATGAGCCTCACAACATCACTCTGGTCCGGAGTGAAACCACAGCTAATCTTACAGTGAACAATTCATTATCATGGCACTCACTGAATGTATATTATTTTGTCTTTAAAGCAGAAAAGGGGAACA